GCGGCGGGCGCTGTGGCCGGGCTGCGAGCGGCGCAGGATGAAGGTGCTGGTGGCGGCGGCTGCGCTGGGCGCGGCCCTCCTGCTCCTGCTGCCCGCGGCCTCCCGCGCCGACGAGCGCAAGAAGGGACCCAAGGTCACCGCCAAGGTCGGAGGGGGCCGAGGCGGGGCCGGCGCGGGAGGACTGGGAGAGGCTCGGGGTGGGGGGAGGCCTGGATGGGGCCGGGGAGGCCTGGGGAGGGGGGAAATTTGGGGTGAGGGGCCCTGGATGGGCCTGAGGGGTCTGGGATTGCGGGGGCCCGGATGAGGAGGGAGGGTAAGGCCGTGAGGGACGGAGGGAGGGTCCAGCCGGGGCCATGGCGGGGCCATGGAAGGGGGAGGAGGCCTGGGGACAGCTTTGTCCAGCTCTGGGGACAGCTTTGTCCAGCTCTGGGGACAGCTTGGCCCAGCTCTGGGGACAGCTTGGCCCAGCTCTGGGGACGCTGAGGTGAGGAGGCCCGGGCTGAAGGGCCTGGGTTCGGGGGACCCAGCTGGGGTGAGTGGTGAGGCTGTTATGGGGGATGGAGCCATGGAGGTGGGGACACCAACCAACCTCMCTCAGCGAGGTTTGGGGCCTGGTCGGAGTCGGTGAGCTGACTTTGGGGAAGGGTTGGAGCAATGAGGTGAGTCTGGCTCCCCTGATCGCCCCTAACCCTCCTTTGCCCCCCAAGGTGTTCTTCGACCTGCGGATCGGTGAGGAGGATGTGGGGCGCGTTGTCATYGGGCTCTTCGGCAAGACGGTGCCCAAGACAGTGGAGAACTTCATGGCCTTGGCCACTGGAGAGGTGAGGGGCCCGCGGTGCCCTGGGCTCACCTGTCCCTGCTTGGCTCCTGCTCGGCCCCCTTGGGCTGCGCTGGGGCTGCGGAGCTCCAGTCCATTCATTCATCTCATTCTGTGTTCTCCCTCCCCACCCGCAGAAAGGATTTGGCTTCAAGGGCAGCAAATTCCACCGTGTGATCAAAGACTTCATGATCCAGGGAGGAGATTTCACCCGTGGCGATGGCACCGGAGGTAACTTGGTGGATCCAGGCACTGCCTTGGAGCAAGACAGCAGCCACGATTCCAACTACTGCAGGACCAGTGGAGCTGGAGCGTGGTGGGAACAAGTGGGCACGGAGCTCACAGTGACCTGGCCTCAGAGCTGGATTAGCTGGGGTGCTGGGAGCCTCCTGCTCCAGTCCCTCAGGGCTCTGACCCCATTGCTCAGGCTGTGGGGTGTTTCTGGCTCCCTCCAGCAGCCCCTGTTTCATGCATCCCTGTGGCGTTAGTGCTGTCCCTGCTCTGGAATTGCTTATTCCCTCCAGCCAATCTGTGCCAGAGCCACCACCACCATCACCCTTATCCCCACATACCCCACGAAACCCATGTGACCTTTTTATCCCTCCCTGCCTTTAGGAAAAAGCATCTACGGAGACCGTTTCCCTGATGAGAACTTCAAGCTGAAGCACTACGGGCCAGGCTGGGTGAGCATGGCCAACGCTGGCAAGGACACCAACGGCTCGCAGTTCTTCATCACCACCGTGAAAACGCCGTGGTTGGACGGGAAGCACGTGGTGTTTGGCAAAGTGCTGGAGGGCATGGTGAGCGATGGCAGAGGGCAGGGGTGGCTGCTCTGGGAGGAGCGGGGCCAGGCAGGGGCTGGCTGTGTCCCCGTGTCCCGTTCTGACCCTCTGCTCGCCCAGGACGTGGTGCGGAAGGTGGAGAACACCAAGACAGACAGTCGGGACAAGCCCCTSAAGGATGTCACCATCGTCGACAGTGGCACCATCGAGGTGGAGAAGCCGTTCGCCATCGCCAAGGAGTGACGGGACCAGGCCCTGCCAGGCTGTGAGGGGCTGCAGGACGGGGCTGCCGTGCTCCCCCTGCCCCAGGGCCGCTGGGTCCGCCCGTGTCCCAGTGCCCRCCCTGTCCCTGCTGCCTCACAGCCAGGGGCACGGGGCACAGGCTGCTCTTCCATTTTGTAACAAGCACATGCGCCAATAAACGTGACCAATGTGTTTTTTAAAGACCTGCCTCTCTCCTGCCTTCAGAGGGGTGCAAATCCCTCCACATCCCTCACCCAGGGGCACCCTTCACCCTYTACACCCCCATTCCAACCTTCCTTYTTCCAGCTGTGCTGGCCCTGGGTATGCTTTGCAGAATTCCACGGCGCAGCACTTTGCCAGTCAGTCAAATCCAAAAGATTTATTGCACCAAAGCCTGGATGCAGAGAGGTTTTCCAGCACCATCTGGCATCCAAAGGCTCCTACTGCAAGCCCAAAACATCAGGGGGAAAAGGCAGAGCTCCTGCTCTCCCAACAAAGGCGCTTTGTGTGGGGGTGGAAGAGCAGCTCCCGCCGTTCCTTTGGTTTCCCCTCTCCCCGTGAAGAATCCCTTCTTTCTCCCAGCAGGAGGAGTGAGTTTCAGCACAAGGATCCRYTCCTCACCACTGCATYCSTGGGTGCTGGGTGGGTGTCTGGGARCCCATTCCAGAGGCTCGGGGGCGCTGCCTGGCCAGGGACACAGCCCGGGGTGAGGTAGAGGCCCTGCAGGACGCCGGCGAGGATGGTGCTGGGGAGCAGGTCTGCAAGGAACGGGGGCAGCTGCAACAGTTTCTTCCCTCCTGGGCCCCGTTCAAGGAGAAGCTCCTCTGTGGGGCCCAGAAGAGCCTTTGGGAGGTTTTGGGGCCTCCACAGCCCTGCTCCTTACCGGGGCCGTGTGGCCGCACGTAGGGGTCAGAGCAGAAGCCAACGATGGGGCGCTGGGAGGGCAGGGGGGCTCTGCTGCTGCTGTGGAAGAGGGGACATTGACCCCAGCCTGTCCCCACGGTCCCCAACCCTGTGTACTTAGGGTGCCTAGGGTGGCAGGGGGACCATCCCAGTGCTRGCAGAACTCATCTACTCACGGGGGGCTGCTGGCCTTGGGGCTCTGCGGGCACCACCGCACCTTCAGGAAGTCCAGCACATCCTGGGGCAGCTGCTCGTTGTGGTACAGCACACCCTGCAGTGCCCCAGAGGGGTCAGCGCCCCACAAACCCATCCCAAACCCACTGCCATGGTTCCTCACCCCAAAAACCCATCCCAAACCCGTTGCCATGCGTTCCTCATCCCACAAACCCATCCCAAACCCACTGCCATGCATTCCTCACCCCACAAACCCATCCCAAAGCCTGCTGCCACGCGTTCCTCACCCCACAAACCCATCCCAAACCCGCTGCCACGCGTTCCTCACCCCACAAACCCATCCCAAACCCGCTGCCACGTGTTCCTCACCCCACAAACCCAGCCTGACCCCGCCCCACGCTCCTGACCTGCAGGTAGAGCTCCAGGCCCTGCCGGCGCTGCTCCAGCGCTTTGGGCATCCAGTTGGGGACATGGCGCAGGGGGAAGTCGGGGACCTTGCAGGTCTTCTTGATCTGGGGTGGAGTGCRGGGCCATCAGGGCAGGCACGGAGGGCGAGGCCAGGCCCTCGTGCCCCCATCCCCTGGAGTGGGGCTCTCACCCGTTTGTGYAGTGCCTGGAACTCGCTGTAGCGCTTGGTCACCGTGTGCCGCCGGCCATTGCACAGCACCTCCACCCGGAACACCTGTGAGGGGAGACAGCACAGCCTCCTCACCAGCCCAGCCTCGCCTTCCTCATCATCCTCACCAGCCCCAGCCTCACCTTCCTCATCATCCTCACCATCCTCACCTTCCTCACCATCCTCACCAGCCCAGCCTCGCCTTCCTCACCATCTTCACCAGCCCAGCCTCACCTTCCTCATCATCCTCACCTTCCTCATCATCCTCACCATCCTCACCAGCCCAGCCTCACCTTCCTCACCATCTTCACCAGCCCAGCCTCACCTTCCTCATCATCCTCACCTTCCTCATCATCCTCACCATCCTCACCAGCCCAGCCTCACCTTCCTCACCATCTTCACCAGCCCAGCCTCATCTTCCTCATCATCCTCACCATCCTCACCTTCCTCACCATCCTCACCAGCCCCAGCCTCGCCTTCCTCATCATCCTCACCTTCCTCACCATCCTCACCAGCCCAGCCTCACCTTCCTCACCATCTTCACCAGCCCAGCCTCATCTTCCTCATCATCCTCACCATCCTCACCTTCCTCACCATCCTCACCAGCCCCAGCCTCGCCTTCCTCACCATCCTCACCAGCCCCAGCCTCGCCTTCCTCATCATCCTCACCTTCCTCACCATCCTCACCAGCCCAGCCTCTCCATCCTCACCATCCTCACCAGCCCCAGCCTTGCTAGCCTCACCATCCCTCATTGTCTTCACCACCTTCACCAGGCCCATCCTCACCACCCTTAATCATCCTCACCATCCCTCATCACTCTCGCCATCCTTCGTCATCCTCACCACCCTCATCATCTTCCCAGGGGTGGCAGGAGCCTCTCACATGCCTGGGACCCTCCACCCCCACTGTCCAGGACAGACAAAGACCCACAACCTCCAGGGCAGAYCCCCAACGCCCCCACAGTCAGCGGGGGCACCAGAGAGCAGGCAGGACCCCCAGGAGCAGATGGAACCCAGTCCCCACCCCAAGGGGACACAGCGAGGTGTGACACCCCACCCCCAAACCCCGCTGGACAGTCGGGACCCTGGGCCTGGMAGGGACCCCCACCCCCCTGTAGAGCGCAGGAACACCAGGAATGGGCACACGGGGACCCCAAACCATGAGATAAAGGGAGACAACCCCTCCTTCCCCCAAGCAGGTGAGGGCCCTACCCACGGACAGCTGTGGATTTCCACCCTCCCAGGGAAGGCAGGAGAATCCCCTCTTTCCCCACAGGGCCAKAGGGAACCCCCCTTGCTTTCCAGGGCGGACCCCTGAAGACAGATTGGGACCCCCATCCATCCCACAGTGCCCCAGGGGACCCCCAGGCCAAGGAAGGAGRGCAGAGGACCCATCTTAGGAAGGAACCCCACAGGGACCTCTGCCCAGCAACCCCTGGGACCCCTGGGACCCCCATCCCCCATAAAGGGATCCACGAGGATGGGGGACCCTCTGGGTCCCATCTGCCCCTCTGTCCCCCCTCTCCTCACCCACACCTGGGACCCCYRGGACCCCTGGGATGGYTGGGAGCCCYCCARGCACCTGGAGGATGTGRGGACACCCCGRTGGGYCYGTTGGGACCCCCACACCCTCTGCCCAGGGCAGGGGGGGCACTCAGGGACACACAGGGACCCCTAACTCCTCCTCCCAGGGTAGAGGAAYACCCCAATATCACAGACAGAGGATGCCCCTGGGCTTGCCGGGGACACGGGGTGGGCAGGAAGAGCCTCCARCCCCTGGGGCATGTGGAGGCACCCCCAGGATGTGGGGACCCTTGGGCCAGAGGGGAACTGGGACAGGGACACCCCCCATTTCAAGGCCAGACAGAGACCCCTGGGGCAGCTGGGGACCCCCCGAGGACACTTGGGGACCTCCAACCCTTGAGGCTGGGACACTTGGGAGTCGCTTGGGAGAACGAGGGCACCTCCAGCCTCTGGGCAGGGGGGGGATCCCAGTGAAGGAAGGGAACCCCGGCCATGGGGGCCACAGAGAACCCCCCGTTTCAAAGGCAGAGAGGCTGAGACCCCCCGGGGACAGACAGAGACCTCTGCCCCCCCTCACCCTGCCCAGCCAAAATCATCTCACCCTGTCCCTGTCCCACCCCTCTTTCAAGGGCAGTGGGTCCCCATCGCAGGGACCCCTGTGTCTGTCAGGGATCCGGCCAGGGGTATTTGGGCTCTTCCAACCCCACCCACTCCCCGGGATGGGGGGGACAAGGGGGACAGGCAGAGGCCCCCAGCCCCTGGGGACAGACAGGAACCCCCAAACCCTTGGGRAAGGGGCCCCACCGTGACGCCCAGAACCGGGACTTCTCCCTTTCCAAGGCAGAGGGTCGGGGTCTGACACGGGCGGGGACTCCTCGGGACAAACAGCGACCCCACACCCCAGGAAGGTGGGGAACCCTGGGGCAGAGGGCGCCCAATGCCCCCGAGCACGGGGTGACTCCCCCGGGACCCCCGGGACCAGGGACACCCGGCCGGCAGGGAGCCCTGGGACAGGCGGGGACCGGCGCTCCCGGGGTACGCGGGGGACCCTCGGGGACAAATGGGGCAGGGGAGACACCGCCACCCCCGTTCCCTGCGGGAGCCACCCCCAGCCCCATCCGGCCCCGGCYCTCACCGTGTGTGCCCGCTCGGGGCTGCGCGCCGCCGCCGGGGGCTCCGCCGCGGGGATGGAGACGGCGATCATGGCCCGGGGCGGGCGAGCKGGCGGGGCGGGACCGTGCCGGGCGGGGACACGGCCCCAACACCCCGGGGAGGGTCCCCAGACAGCCCGGGGACACGGCCCCGAACAACCGAGGGGACACGGACTCCAAACACCCTGGGGAAACGGACCCTGAACACTCCGGGCACAGCACCCACCACCCCAGAATGGTCCCCAAACACCCCGGGGACACGGACCCCAAATACCTCAGGGACACGGACCCTAAAGAGCCCAGGATGGTCCCCAAAGAGCCCAGGATTGTCCCCAAACAGCCCAGGACGGTCCCCGAACAGCCCGGAGCCGGTGCCGCGGCCCCAGTCCGGCACAGGGGGAGGGAGGGGGCAGTGGAGGCGCCGCAGGGGCCCGGCCTTACAGGGATAAGGGGAAAGGAAAGTGGGAAGTCAGCCCAAGTGGCCTTTTCTCCTTTTTCACGCAGAAAGGGTATCGGTTTTGATAAAACCTGCACGCCAGGCTGGGGAGCTGGGGGAAGGGGACGCAGCAGCACCGCAGCCCCAAGAGCTCCATCGTGGATTTTGGGGGAATGCCACAAAGCAGGATTGCTCCAGAGCCCYGCTGAGCTCAGATCCTAAAAAAGGCTCTGGCTGGGAGCAAGGCAGAGAGCCAAAGCCTAATCAGGAGCAGGGACAGGTGGCCAGAGCATTGTCCAAGGTCACTTCTGTCCCGCCACAACACGGGGGAGGCTCTGCTGCCTCCCTCGGCATCCACGGATGCACCGTTACCCCTCCCCGCTCCAGCCCCAACACCCAGAGCCTGTTTGCCCTGATACAAGTTTTATTACAGAATTTTAATGGCACTGCAGGAGTAAGATAATTCATTAGAGCCCTAAAACCCAGCCTGAAAAATAGATATTTGCCAGATCTCGTTAACCCCCCGGCTGCGGGTCTGGTCTGGAAGCAGGAAACTAGTTTCTCTTCAGTAAGAAAATATATGTTGCTAAATGAAAAATATACAGTTAGAAGAGTTACTGGCTCGCAAGCTGCTCGTCTGGGGGTGACACCTCATGTGAAACGAGGGGTCGCTCACGTGGAAAAAAGGAGGAGGTATAGTGTACATATAAAAAAAAAAAAAAAAAAAGGCAAAATTCAGGTTTGTTCACTCGGTCCAATTAAGAAATGGCCTTGGCTTCGGGCAGGAACGCTTCCCAGTACTTCACCAGCTGCAGGGAGAAGGAGAGGGTCAGGAGCCTGCAGGATGGAGCTGCAGTGGGGGAGGGATCATGCTTGAGGGGTTCACAAGCTCGGCCTGAGCGTGGAGGTGGAACCACAGCAGGGAGCACTCACCTGCTGCTGAGAGTTCAGTAACGTCTCAAGGTATTTCGTGACGTGGTTTCTGAAGTCCTTGGATTTCTCTTTCTGTGGGAGATGGGCGTGAGGCTGGACCAACCACCAAACCCCTCCAGGATTTGGAAGGGGGAAGGAGAAACCAGCAGGATTTTGCTGTTCCTCCTGGGGTCCAGGAGGAGCCCAACCCAAGCATCTCTGCCCACCCTCCTTCCTTCTCAYGGACACTCTTGGGGAAGGCCCCTCTCACTCAGCCAGAACCCTCAGCCCACACCAGTCGGGATTTAGGGACTGCTGTGCTGGGAGCAGGAGCCAGCTCAGCCCCAAACCCACCTCAAAGCGTATCACTTCCTTGCGGATGACGGCAGAAATGCGCTCAAAGTCCCTTTCGTATTGTGTCACCCGGGATTCCCACTGCCGAGAGAGGAAGCATGCTGTTTCGAGCCAGGGGAAGGAACTCACAACCCCTCACCCCAGGGCTTTGGAGCCACCACTGTCCATGTGGGAAGCGCTGGTGGAGCAGAGCCCGCCGTTCCCAGGCCTTGTCACCACCTTGGCGTGACGGTCACAGGCGGTGTGACCACGAGCAGCCCCTGGCTCAAGGCTGGCCCTCAGTGCCCCTCGGCCACAGACACCTGTCCCTCCTGCTTGGGAGGCTCCCCAGCCCAAACCCCCCTTTCCCAGCCCAGAACCCTCCTTCTCTAGCCCAGAACCCCCCTTTCCCAGCCCAAACCTCCCTTCCCCAGCCCAAACCTCCCTTCCCCAGCCCAGAACCCCCCTTTCCCTGCCCAGATGGGTCCCCACAGGATCACAGAGGGCAGGAGCAGAGCAGAGACCCCCCTGTTCCGTCCCCTACCTCCGAGATCTCGTCCTTGGCCTGCTGCAGCTTGTCAGGTTTGTTGGCCCACAGCAGCCTGGCCTCCATCTCCCTCTTCTTCTGCAGCATGGTCTGGGCATCCTGCCAGCGCTGCCAGGTCTTCATGCGCTGGTCAAAGGCTCCCTGGAGGGAAGGAGGGGCACGGGTCGAGCTCTGTGCTGCCGCCACACCGGGGGCAGTCCTGACAGGGGACACTCACCAAGGGGACACTGGAGGTCCTGGACCAAAGTTGAGCCAGAACATGGACTGGGCCCTGCTCTGGAGCATCCACAGCTCCCATGTGGACCAGTGGACCAAGGACTGGCATTTGGGCCTCTGGCAGGACATGTTTGGGGCAGGCAGGGGTCAGCTGGCTGCACTTGCTGCTCCCATGGGATCGCTTTGACCCAGCTTACCAGAAGGGCTGCGTGCACTTGATGCCCAAGCCCAGGAGCACCAAGCCTCAGGCTGTGCCTCAGCAGGCTCTTGGCAGCTCTATTGTCACCACCCAGATCACAGGTCACCAGCTCACAGCCTGAGCCCTCAGCCCTGGGAGGGTTGGGGTCCCTCACAAGCCATGAGCTTGCCCCACATCCCCTCTGGAGAAGAGCAGCATGGCCAGGGCCTCACCTACAAYCCTTTTCCAACCTAACCAGGGCACACTTGGACAACCAGCAAGTTTTCCCTCTGCCTGAAGAGGCCATGCACACCCTGYGTGCCCTCTGCCACGTCCAGTGCTCCAGTTTGGAACACCTCCTGTCAACCCTAAGCCTAAGGTGAGTATGAGGAGCAGGAGCGGAGGAATCCTTACCCTTACAACCGAGAGGAGGCGGATGTAGTCCCCCAGGAGCTCAGCCAAGAGGAAGAAGTCGTTGTTAGCCTGCTCGTGGTGCAGCTGCTCGATCTTCTCCTCCACCTCAGCCAGCTGGGACAGCGCCCGGGACAGCGCCGTGTTGTCCTCGGAGCTGCCCAGCATGGCCAAACTCTTGGCAAACTGGGCCGTGTTCAACGCCAGCTCTGGGGAACAGGATCAGGGTCAGCACACGGGCCTGGCTGAGCTCACAGAGCTGCTTTTCCAAAGTCCCAGCAGAGAGCAGCTGGAAGGGCCAGCACTGGCCTGCTCAGAGCCAGCAGCTCCCCACCACGAGGAGGAGAGAAGCAGCCRAGCAGGGGGACAGGCACGGCTTTGAGGAAGTCAGTCAAAACATAGAGAGGATGGAAACATCCCCACTCCCAGAGGATGTCTGGGAAGGAATAAATAAGGTCAGCTGTGATCAGGTTTGCTACAGCAGCCTTCATTCCCATGAGGACAGGCTGAGGGAATTGGGGTTGCTCAAATTGGAGGAGAAAAGGATCCAGGGAGAGCTCAGAGCCCCTTCCAGCACCTACAGGGGCTCCAGGAGAGCTGGAGAGGGACCGGGGACAAGGGATGGAGGGACAGCACAGGGAGAATGGTYTCCCATTGCCAGAGGGCAGGGATGGATGGGRTATTGGGAAGGAATTGTTCCCYGCGAGGGYGGRCAGGCCWTGGCACAGRGTGCCCAGAGCAGCTGTGGCTGCCCCTGGCAGTGYCCAAGGCCAGKCTGGAGACTGGGGCACCCTGGGACAGTGCAAGGTGTCCCTGCCCATGGCAGRGGTGGAATGAGATGGACTTTAAGGTTCATTCCAGCCCCAAGCCATCYTGGGATTATATGATCCTACAGGACACAGGTTCCCTTCCACACCACCCCCTGAGCTTGTGGAACAGCACAGAAAAGTCGGAGTGACCCTTTAACAGCTGCCTCCCATGAGGAAGAGACAGAGACTCCTTTCTAGTGCTGTCCCACTTCCTTGCAGTGTCCCTGGGAGCCCTGGTGACATCCCCAGCACAGCACAGGGTGTGGCTGTCCCTGCCCGAGCCCCGAGCTGAGCCCTGACCTTTGCGGTGGTTCACCAGAGTCTCCACCACCGCGTGCAGCTTCCGCAGCCGCTGGTCCTCGCACTCCACCTCCTGCAGCTTCTCCTCGAACCACTGCAAYGGGGAAATGCACAACTGAGCCCCACAGGGATGGGGTGGGGGTCTCCCTGCCCCCAGAGCTGCAGCTGGTAAGAGCACCCGGCTGCAGAGTGAGGACAGGGACAGCCGGACGTGTCCAGCACTTACGATGTCCGATTCGTTCATCTTGATGGTCATTTTACTGACGGCATCCGTGGCTTTGTTGAACATCTTCATTATTCCTGCTCCACTCAAGGTCTGGGTGCCCACTGCTCTTGGGAGCTGGAAAGGAATGGAAAAGTTTGCTTTGCCATAGGAGATGGAGCCAGGCTGGGAGAGCTGGGGGTGTTCACCWGGAGAAGGATCCAGRGAGAGCTCAGAGCCCCTKCCAGSRCCTAMAGGGGCTCCAGGAGAGCTGGAGAGGGACTGGGACAAGGGATGGAGGGAYAGGACACAGGGAATGGCTYCCACTGCCAGAGRGCASGGATGGATGGGATATTGGGAAGGAATTGTCCCCTGTGAGGGTGGGGAGGCCCTGGCACAGGGTGCCCAGAGCAGCTGTGGCTGCCCCTGGATCCCTGGCAGTGCCCAAGGCCAGGCTGGACAGGGCTGGGAGCACCCTAGGACAGTGGAAGGTGTCCCTGCCCATGGCAGGGGGTGGAACAAGATGGACTTTAAGATCCCTTCCAGCCCAAGCCATTCCATGCTTCTGCAGTGCCCATGAGGCAATTACTGAGTGATGTTTCCCATACCTTACCTCAGCCCAGCCTTTCGTTTATTCTCTCCCTCACTCCCAGCTGAGGGGATGGCTCAGCAGCTTTGCTGGGCACCCAGTGCCAACCCACCACACCAGCTCCCCTTCCCACTTCCACAGGGCTCTGCCCCTTCCTGCTGAGCTCTGCGGGTCCTGCCTCACCAACGGCTCAAGAACCATTCCCAGAGATACCTCAGTGCACCTTACTGACCTCCTCCTTCTCCAGGAACTCCCTGACGTCCGGGTCCTGCAGCATGGTTGGAT